CTTCGTTACAGGCCTATCTTTTTGGCTACACCTCTGCCTTGCTCCCCGCCCCTGTGACATTGCCCCCCTCCGCCCACCCCTGTCATACCTCTTTTTTGACAGCCACACGGCTGAGAGAAGCCAGAGCCCATTCCTACCCGCTCGCTATCCGTAGGGTGTTAGTGGGATGGGACCTTTGGGGTCACCGTGGACTGTCCTGAAAATAGACCCGAGCTCCATGCAAAAGGTCTTGTTAAAATGTTCTCTGGAGATCCATAATTCCCCTCCTCGGGGTACGCAGTCTCCTGGGAAGCACCGTCCAAACACTGTTTGGTGTTCCAAATCCCACATTTTGGTAGCTCTCCCAGGGGTGGAAATAGCGCCTGGAAAATTAAATCTATGTGAAACTCTTCTCCCCTGCGGCTATGGGCCTCCGTGTGTGAACGAGGGTGCAATCCTTGTGTGGCAGGAACCGGTGACCTTCGAGGACATTGCTGTCTATCTGAGCCGCGCAGAGTGGGACACCATTGCAGAAGGGCAGAGGGAGCTGTACCACAGCGTCATGCTGGACAACTACAAGCTCTTAACATCCCTGGGTAAACCTGCGGTTTTAACTCCTGGGCTTGGATATCAGCTGGGGGGGTGGAGGGGCACGGCTGGGGGGGGCTTCTGTCATATTTGACTCCATCAGAACTGTGCTGCTACCAGCACTTAGAGGGGTGATCAGCGTCTTTTGAACTTTGGCTGCAGGGTTGGGATAACTGCTCCGCGTACCTGCAGTCTGGTGTCCTGCAGTCTCTTTGGGAAATCCAAGCACAATATTTGGGTCTCTTTGAGCTGATGCCCACCTCTGAAAATGTAACTGCGGGTGAGCTGCCTGCCCTGAGGTCAGGCAGGGATCTTCTGGGGGGATCCAGGCCATGGGCCACCAACTCTGTGCCCTCTTCTGGGTGCTCAAGCTGCAGCGGGGCAGGAGTAGCCTGTACCAGGCAAGGTGCAGGGGAGCAGACCCATCACAGGACAGCAGAGTTCCCTGAACCAGCAAGGTCCCTTCAGAGGACTTGCCTGCTGGCACCAGTACAGGATGGACGTGTCTGATTACCTGGGAGGACATCTCACACCTAGGAGCTGCCCCTAGGATGAGCAACAGATAATTCCTCGCTGGGAAACCCTGTCAGCAGAGTTGGGAGTTGGTTCCCATACTCCCATCAGGGCCCTGCCCTGGTCCTTGTGAATAAATTTGTTACTGGCAGCAGCTCCAGTGTCTCTCTCTCTTTTTTCCCCATGTTTCACTGTTGTTTCAACTTCAGTTCTTCTGGTCACAGTGAAGAGCAGCTTGGCATGTCACAGAGAAGACCTTTATTTTCTTGTGTTAACAATTTATCTCTACAGTTTGTGTTAGAACAACACCCTCTGCTCCACCTCCAGGTTATCCAGGCCCCAAGCCTGACATTTTATACCGGATGGAGCGTGGGGAAGAGCCATGGGTCTGCACACCGCAGAGCCCAGTGAGGTGGGATGGACCCGACAGCCCCTCTCTAGGTGAGCAGGAACAATCCAGCCCCCGTAGGACCACTTACCTCGATGGGGAGTGGCGGCACATTCCAAAGGCCGCCCCAAGCTCCTCTTCCGTAGCTGTGACCAGTGTGTCTCTGGGGTTCCCACTTGCCCTCCTGCCCAAATCCCTCCCCCCTTCGCTGCCTGTTTTGAGGCATCTCCCCCATTTCCCTCTGGCCCTGCCAGTCTCCCTGCACAGGGCAGTAGCAGTGTCAAAGGGAAATGGAAGCTGCCTGTCTCCCTGTGCAAAGGCTGCAGCTCTGCAGAGATGTTGCTGATTATCTGCTGCTGCTCATCCCCCTCAACCCATGGAGAATCCTCCCCCTATTCAGTAACCTGCGAACAGGATTGTGGTTTTCTGGCTGCTGGTGGCAAACAGGGCTTCCTCCTCCAGCCCCATGGCTGTGGAGCAGAATGGTTTCCTCCGCTAGGAAGGTGACATTCGTCTGGTTTCCCTGCAGGACGCGACAGGTACGGGAACTGGCTGGAGGAGCGTCCCTTGGGCTGGTGGCCTGGTGCTGGCGGGCGCAGTGTGCTGGAGGAGAGGACACAGAACCCCTGCCAAGGTGAGTCCTGGTCTCCCTTGACTCCCAGTCTCTCCTTGACTCTGCCTGGTGGTTCCTCCTCACCACCAGGCTCTGGAGCAAAGAGCCTGAGGTAGGCTCCAGCCCCCGTCCCCAGCCACCTGTGCTGCCCCTGGTCATCACTGCCAGGGCTTCTCCCACCCCTGCACAGGCAGCGTCCCTGGGCAGGGCTTGATTCTCCTGTCCATCCAGGCAGAGGCTGGGGATGTGGAGCCCGGGCAGCCCTGAAGTGGGGAGAATGGCCCTTTCTCACTGGATTGGGGGCAGGCTGTCAACGTGTCCCCCATTCCTCCCTTCAGCATGGTCCCCGTCTTCCTGTCCCATCACAGTGCCCCAGCCAGGAAGAAGGCAAACTCTTCCCAACCCTCTCTCAGCAGGAGGACGGTGCATGCAGTGGCGTCTCCGGTCTAGAAGACTGTTGAACAAGTTCAGGTGTCTCGGGGATAGGAGCGAGTTGCAGCCAGAGGAGGCTGGCAGAGGATCAGGGACGGTGGAAAGCCAAGATCAGGCACGGACGGTCTTCTGGCCTGGGAAGGAACGAGAAGCAGAGGATAAACAAGGGGTCACAGCAAACGTAACCCAACACAAAGGGTTCCCACTTCATCCAGTGATGGAACAGCAGAACAGAAAGGCAGATCCTCGGGAGCATCTGCGTGGTGACCATGGGGAGAGGTTTCAAAGGAGCGCCCCAAGTAGTCAGTGCACCTTGGGAGAATTGACATTTTCCCAGAGAAATGGGGAACTGTCTATCGAGGAGCTGAATGAGACTATTTTGAAAGACCACTGTTACTGTGTGATAAATGAGACGTGGCTCTTGCGTTGCGCCCCACGTCCATGTCCTCTGAGAGAACACGACTATTGCAGGAACCGTAAAGTTGGTGTCTCGGCACTTAAGGACCACGAATACTGTCACGTGCAAAGGATTCGTTATCAGGGCAGAGTTAATAAAATTGTTCGTCTTACTGGTAAGGCTCGGGCTGCGCTTCACAGGCTGGCAAAGCGAAAATCCCAGATAGGGCGAATCATCAGGAAAGCCAAGCGAATTGTGTGGCGTTACAACCCTTGCGCCCACAAGAGGTTAGAGTTTCCCCAGGGAAAGACCGGCTGTCTTTCTGAACGTGTTGCCTCAGCGACTGTCCCTCCTGCTAAGGCAGAAGACAACCCCATGAAGGGAATGCGTGGAGCGTTTTGTCGTCCTGCAAAGCAGGAGACTCTGCATCCCCAGCCTCAGAGGGAGGGCAGCTCCCAAGGGAGAACGTCAAAAGCACTTTGTGCCCCTGTGGTGTCTTTTGAACCTGTGGCTGCACCCTCACCCTCCAGTGCAGCTGTGAAGGTGAAGAGGGAAGCGACACACCCCAAGGCATACATACACCACGAAGTGCATAGGGCGCAGCTGATTCGGAGCCCTGACGCTAAGCAAAATGTCAAAGGACATGAACTCATTAATTCAAAATATGTATCACTGTGTGATGAATATAAAATGGTGATGCGGACTGTCGACCACATGTTGGACTCTGTATGCCAGAACTTCGAGCTTGGTGGCTATTCTCAGTGTAAGGATGTCTGGCCCATCATCATTCAGATCGACAGCTGATTGGCAGCAGGTCGGCAGTGGCTGTTGTGTCTGTCGAGGTGAACAGTCAGGACCTTCTTCCCTGCAGCAAAACCCAGTGAAGTGATTTGGGAGGATAAATGCTGTGAAAGGCATATGGAGGCGTATTGGTGGGTATAAAACTCGGTATGCAGCACCTGCTCGGGAAACCGGGATTGTCTGGGAGGCTTTGGGGAAAAGGACAAGGGAAGCATCAGTGTGGATAAAGGAGGAAGCACAGGAAAACAGAACGAAGGGGGAAGGATGGGAAGCCATGTGTGAGCAGGCAGCTGGTCAGTGTGTTTTCTGGCCAGGCTGTGCCTGATCACTGCGGTCTTTCCTGTCTTCTCATTAAACTCTCCTAAATTATTGTTCATGTTGTCACATCCCTGGTCTGTCCAGCAGCACGCGAGCTGCACTCACAAACAAAGGAGCAGCCCCTCACCAGCCCCAGATGTGGAGGAATCCCCCAGGGTCTTCAGGGCGCTGAACTCGGCTGCCATTAGTGCTTTGCTCTGCAGGCAGCGTGTCCAGCTTTACGGGGTTTCCCACTATTAATTTAAACAGAGTGAATGGAGAGAATTTAGAGTACAATATTAAAGGAGTACTTTGGGGTTTTCTGATGAGACTTCGCAGCTATCACTTAGAAAAGGATGTGGGGACTTCCTGCAGAACCCCGCAGCGCTCCCTTCCTAAAACTACTGAAACAAAGCACCATTCAGCAGATCTCTAATGGGGACACTGTTATGGCTGCCAGCAGAAGACTGCTCCCTGACGGGGAGGTGAAACTCCCTGAATAGAACCATGGGAGGTGCCAGGAGGAATTGGTGGATGTGTGGGATGCCAGTGAGAGAAGCAGCAGCAGCTGCAGTCAGTGCAGCATGGGCGGCTGGGCTTTGCCGGTGATCACGGGGAAGCTGAATTCCCTGGGTGAGGGAAGTGGGGACTGGGATCTTCTGGAGAGAAGAGTCTTGCAAGACCAACAGTGCCCAGGGAACCACAACACTCATTCCAGCAAGGCTGAGATTACTCTTGTAATATCAGAAAAGCCAAATTTGGTTATAAGTGTAGCAAAACTGGGATGAATTTGTAATATTTTGTATCAGCAATAGTGTGGCCAGCAGGAGCAGGGCAGTGACCGTCCCCCTGTACTCGGCCCTGGTGAGGCCGCACCTCGAGTGCTGGGTTCAGTTTTGGGCCCCTCGCTCCAAGAAGGACATTGAGGGGCTGGAGCGTGTCCAGAGAAGGGCAACCAAGTGGTGCAGGGTCTGGAGCACAGGTCTGATGAGGAGCGGCTGAGGGACCTGGGGTGGTTTAGCCTGGAGAAGAGGAGGCTGAGGGGAGACCTGATCACTCTCTACAACTCCCTGAAAGGAGGGTGCAGCCAGGTGGGGGTCGGTCTCTTCTCCCAAGGAAGAAGCGACAGGCCAAGAGGTGTGGGTCGGTCTCTGCTCCCAGATAACAAGCTGCAGGACAAGAGGAAACGGCCTCAAGTTGTGCCAGGGGAGGTTTAGATTGGAGATCAGGAAACCTTTCTTCCCCCAAAGGGCTGTCAAGCCCTGGGACAGGCTGCCCAGGGCAGTGGTGGAGTCCCCGTCCCCGGAGGGATTTCAGAGCCGTGTAGATGTGGTGCTTGGGGACATGGGTCAGTGGTGGGCTGGGCAGTGCTGGGGTAACGGTTGGACTCCGTGATCTTAAAGGGCTTTTCCAGCCTAAACGATTCTGGGATTCTATGAACAGTCGTGGTGATTAACTGGAATGTATTGGAAAACATAGCGCCTGGGCATGACGTAGATGGTATGGAAGAAGGGGTGGGTACTGTCCTGGTTTCAGCTGGGATAGAGCTGATTTTCTCCTGGGCTTCACTTGGGAGCGTGTCATCGGTCAGTCCCGGGGCCCACCTGCCCCCGCGGAGCCCATTTGCTGCCAGCACCCCCGAGGACAGGTGGGGGG